CCCCCCCCCCCCCCCCACTCCCCCCTCCTTAAATTCCCCTGTCTAAGACGGAAGTTGTTTCCGGCCCTCTTGCCATTCTGTCTCACACAGGTTTGTCTAGGTAAACAGGGTTTTTTTCCCTTTGTCGCAAAACTCAAAAGTAGGAAAAATGAGATGTGCCATTTTGCTAGCACAGTGATGAGATGTAGAACAGCTGTTTTGACTGGCAGATAAATACAGGCTTTAAACATCCCGGACATGAACGCATTCTTGCTCACTTGTGAACTAGTGATTGGGAGCCTGAGCCATTTTACTTGCCACTGTGTACCGGTTCCAACAGATCAAAAGGTTAAGAGCTTCAATCATGAATTTTACCAACATGAAGGGAAATTTTTTTCCTCACATTTTGTAGCAACTCATTGACATTTTAGCATCACTTTTCTGGGATATTGTTCTTGGCAGCCAATTTCACCAAAATGCTTGTGACAAACTGTTTCCAATTAAAGTTGTCAAAGTTAGCAGCATCATTCATTGGTTACCCATTCAGTCCAAAATGAGGCAGTAAAAAGGTCTTTGTCTTTTCAGTTTTCAGGAAATAAAGTAAGGTCTTTGATGTTTAAGTTGTCAGAAAAATAAAGTTATTTTTGTGAATGAATATGAAGCTCTCAGCAGCACTTTTCTGAAACCCCCATGTTTGTTTTCAAACAAAGGTAAACACAGCTTTCATGCAGAGTCATTATAGTCAAACAGTACTTAAAGTTCACTGGAGTATCTTACAATCTAAGATTTTCATTCTTAGGTTCAAGGTCATGATTAATTCTGTTGTGCATTTCATTGCAGATTTATCGTCAATTCAAAGCTCAGGCAGGCAGCAGAAAACCAGCGGCAGATTTTGCCGTTTCTCAGGCAGCAGATGTAAGTCACAGTTGTACTTATATATGTCTCATAGAATTTTTATTTTGGTTTTGCTAGTGGAGTAAAAAATGAAACTGTCGCAATGAAAGAATGTAAATAGCTAAACAGGTATGTTAGTGAGAAATATTTCTTGTTAACTGCTCGCTTTTTTTCTTGTAGTACTCGAGAATGTGTAAGTCTTTTTCTTGGTAGTAATTTGTACAGTCAAATCTGGTAGTTTGTGATGTTGTGGTAATTTTCATTGCTACCCACATCCTTACTCTGTCTGAAAATGGAGTTAATTACTGTGTTTCCAGTACTTCAAAGGATGTGATTGTATCTCCTCTATATTGATTAGTTATCTGACCACTAGAGAATTGAACACTGTTAGTTAACCCCAGCACTTACACTCACAGATGGGACCATGGAGATGGAGTCTGGTATTTGCTAGGTCACTTAAGTCCTCAAATACAGTTCTTTTGCTGTATGGTTTGTTCCAAAGTGCAACATTCTCCAGCTTGGTCAAGTCTAATTCAGTTTCAAGATGTAGGACCATTATATATATTCAATCAAACTTGTCTAAGACAACCACCCATTGTTGAGGAGAAAAGTAGTCATCTTAGACATGTGGTCCTCATGGATTGTATCATTATAAGAAAGAAAAAGTGGCAAGGAAAAAGTGGTCATTTTGAAAAGTGATTGTTTGGACAGGTAGTCTTTAGAACAGGTTTGACTTTATTTAATTATTCTATGATCTAATTTTTGTCAGAAAGTTTCTGACGAACTTGTATTTCATCACTGTTTGCAAGGGAGAAAGTTTGGGACAAACTTGTATTTCATCACTGTATGCAAGGGAGAAGTGAGAATTTGTCATTTGTACTGGTGATTGTTTTGGACAAGTGGTCATTAGAGCTGTTTTAACTGTATAAGTTACAATTTGATTCAATTTTTGCGAGGAAGTTTGTGATGAACTTGCGTGTCATCCCTGACTGATGTTTCAGGTGTACTGTGAGATCCGCTACCGTATAGAGGATGCCGAGGTGCGCGAGTTGCTGGGCCTGCTGTCAAAGCCCCATGTGCAGGTTGGTCCTTGCTTCAGTTGTACCTGTCCAAGAAGACCACCCATTGTCGAGAGGAAAAGGGGCCATCTTTGACAGGTGGTCCTCTTGGATGGTATCATTATAATATAGAAAAATATGAAAGTTGAGAAATGGGAAGTAGTCGTTTGTGTAAATAAGTGTCTGGGACAGGTGGTCAATCAGGTTCAGTTATGTCCACAGTTCCTTTAAAACTTCTGACTTGAAATAAATACTGGTGGAATCAATAGAGCTGCTGTGTGCAATACTGTGGTTCGGTGTGTATCAGCACAGGACAGACTTTCTAGTTTTGTTATTGGGTTTTTGGTCAGCCTCTTAATTTCAAATGACAAAAATGAAATCAAAGCTTATGATGTAAATGATGACACAAAGAATGTACAAGTGAATCAACTTTGCGATCAGGTAAACACAGACAAGCATAAATATTTGCAAAACTTAATTGAATTAATCAAAATTTAATGTTTAATGTGGACTAAAAGTCCTTAGAGGAAAGTTTGACATAGCATAAAAATTGGATTTATATGAATCAATTTAATGTTCATTTCAGTAAGCATTGAATGACTCCCAATTAAAAAAAACAAAACAAAAAGCCGTACTGATATTTTGGACAATATAGCTCAAATGCAAGATATGATGTGTGCCAAATCCTACACTAAAGCTCATGATGATTTGTTAAGCCTTTCTCCCTTCGTGTGTGAAAAGGGATCTATGAATGTTGAAAACTGTCATTTCGTCACTGGTTCTATTTTGTAGCGCAAGATTTTTCCCCTCATTTAGGAAAATACTCAAATATGATATAAGCATATCATTGGCTTTATCAGTGGCTAGTATTAGTTTGTTTTTACTTTTGTGTGTCTGCCTTTCCTCCCCTGAAATTTTTTTCTAGTGGACATTATTTTTTCAGGCGCTACTGTTTTGCCACGACAAAGTTGCGTGTGAAGATTATGAGCCCAGGTTCGACCCTGTACCTCCAGGGACAGGGGAAGATGGAACAATTGTCAAGATTGTGCGGCTTATCAAAAACAACGAACCTTTGGTAAGGAGTGTTTGTCGGAAAAAGCTTTGAATTTTGTATGTTATGTTTCTGCAGTGTAAAACTAGTTGGATGTCTAGTTAAGTGTTTGGTTGCTGTTTCAAATAACCGATATGTAGTTGTACAAAAAGGCTTTCTACAAAAGCATTTTTTAACTGTAGTAGGGAAAAATGTATGCTGTATTTAAATTCTGGAAAAGGGTTGTGTTTTAATTGACAATTTTTACTGCTGTATGGATAAAGTGCGCCAGTTTCTCTCTATCCTCTTCCAGTTTTAAGAGACGACAAGCTAACTTTGAATTTTATGATTCCAAACATAAACATTCATATTTAAAAAAAAAAAAAGAACGAAAGAAAGAAAAAAAGAAACACTTTTTGTTGCATGGTGAAACTAACACATTGTGACTGTCTCTTCCCAGGGCGCCACTATCTACCTCAACGAGCACACGGGCTGTGTGGAGATAGCACGAGTTTTGCATGGTGGAGCGGCTCACAGGAGCGGTGAGCCAAGCCTTTCTTTTCTCAGAAATAACTCACAAATAAGGGTCTACGACTTTTCTGAAAATACAGTCCAAATTGTCTAAGACAGCCACCCATTGTTAAGGAGAAAAGTGGTTGTCCTAGATACATGTTGTGGTTGGTGTCTTTATTAATGTTGAAAAAACACAAAGGGGATGTGGGGAGTGGTTGTTCTGTGTGTGTGTGTATGTGTGGGCGTGTATTTGGGTGTGGGTGTGTGTGTGTGTGTGTGTGGGTGTGAGTGTGTGGTTGGGGGTGGGGATGGGTGTGTGAGTGTGTGTGTGTGTGTGTGAGAGAGAGAGAGAGAGAGAGAGAGAGAGAGAGAGAGAGAGAGAGAGAGAGAGAGAGAGAGAGAGAGAGAGAGAAAGAGAAAAAGAGAGAGAGAGAGAGAGAGAGAGAGAGAGAGAGAGAAAGAGAGAGAAGAGAGAGGGGAGGGGGGAGAGGGGGGAGGGGGGGGGGCAGTGTCGTTATAATGTAGAAAAAACCCCACAAGGGGATGTGGGAAGTTTTTGTTTAGTGTGTGGATGTGTGTGGGGGGGGGGGGGGGGAGTTAATAAGTGAGAGAGTGTCATTTGATTCGGTTCATTATTTTCATCAGTGGTATAAAGTATCTTGTGCTAAATAATCAACTGGGTTTTTTTTCTTTTGTTTCTCTCTAGGTCTGCTGGCAGCTGGGGATGAGGTGCATGAGATCAATGGGGAGTCCGTGAAAGGTTTAGAGCCAGACAGGATTGTGGAAATGTTGGTTAGCATCACATGATTTTTTACTTTGAACAGGAATTGAATTATCAATTTGATTTGGTGGCGTTGGTAGTCTAGTGGTTAGACTTCCAGACTCGTAATAGTGAGGTTGCAGGTTCGAGATTCCAGCCTCAGTCCCGAGGGAACGCCACTTTACACACGTTTTCCTCATTTCACCCAGGTGGGAATGGGTACCCAGCTATATCATGTTTGAGATTTAGCTCCTATAAAATGGCAGCTTTCACAGTGTGCTTCCCGGGAAGTTGAGATTGTTTCAAAATCCTATCAGGTATGCTGGGGTAATAATATAGATTGTAAAGTACATAGAGCTTGCTGTTGAGTGGGAATTTGTGCTATACAAATGCTATTTATTATTTGTCATTATTATAACTCAGATGTGTAGCTATCGGTGTTGCCATTGCTCACAGAAGACTTGTAGGCCTATTTGATTCTTTTGTAAGAACCTTGTTGATTATCTTGTTCTTTCTTCTGAGACATTGTATCCCTCTCAGCTTAGGTTGACCCGGATAGGCATGATTGAAGTTAGCCTCCTAAATAATCTGATATTAGAGATAAAATTGGCGAGATAAATGGTTTTCCAAACTGCAATATGCTTGGAAACTGTAAATATACTTTTTTTTGTGCCTTTGATCAACCATTTTCAGTAAAAATCAAAATAGAAATGTGTTTTTGAATGGATTCAAACTGTGTTGAGCCCAAAATAAAAGATCTGAGGAGAATTGCCCCAGGGGTGGAAAAAATAGTGTCGGGTTTCTTCTATATCAATATTTTGACGAGTGCTTGATTTTACCAGGATGCCTCACATTTTGTTTCCGCAGTCTGAAGTCTCAGGGTCTGTGACTCTCAAGTTGGTGCCCTGTATGAAGACAAATGTTGGACGCAAAACAAAGGTGACTTTACTTCTTCCCCCCTTTCTTTTTTGTCAGTTTATATTTTTGTGTGGAGTTTATTTTTGCTTGCTGGTTTTATACTTTTGTGTACAGCATCTGAAGATTCATGTAAAAAGCATTTATACTGCGCATTTCCATTTTCTAAAAGATGCTCAATGCGCATTACAACGAAAAAGACATCATATCTTAAAAATTAATTGACACGTGTGTACGTAGAACAACATATTATACATATAATATAAATGCATATCTGTAAAATTTTATATGAGAAAAATAGTCTCGCAGTGAGGTTGAAAATGTGTTCACTAAAAATATATACAATGCAATAAAAATTCACGAATGGTCACAATAAAGTTGAAACGTGAGTAACTAGAAACGTTAATTAAAACATTAATTCTATACAGATAGAAAAACATTTCCGTTCTCTCTCTCTCTCTCTCTCTCTCTCTCTCTCTCTCTCTCTCTCTCTCTCTTTCTCTCTCTCTCTCTCTTTCTCTCTCCCTCTCTCTCTATCTCTCTCTCTCTTTTTCTCTCTCATTCTCACACGCTATTTCTTCCATCTCACAGTCTGGCATACACATGCATATATATCACAGTACATCATTATGACAGGTATGCTCTTGTGAATAAAAAAATGCTTCAGCTGATTTTTGAAAATGGAAATTGTTGGGGCAGATCTTATTTTATATGGGAGTTAGTTCCATACCCGGGGACCAAAGAATAAAAAGGAACGCTCGCCGTATGTTTTGTAATTTTGTTTTGGAGTTTAAGAATTAGATTATCAGAGGCTGATCTAAGGGCTCTAGGTGGATGATATAATTCCAGGAATGTTTTAAGATAAAAAGGTGCACTATCATTTATACATTTAAAACAGAGAACGGCAGTTTTGTATTTGATCCTTTCTTTTATTGGCAACCAGTGTAGTTCTTTCAGAATTGGTGTTACGTGCGCTGATTTATTTTGTTTCATTATCAATTTTGCTGCTTGATTTTGGAGTACTTGTAACTTTGATAGTTTATCGGATGTCAAACTGGACAAAATAGCATTACAGTAATCTAACTTTGATAAAATGAGTGTTGTTACAAGTGTCTTGGCTGCTGCTTTAGTTAAATAATTTCGTACACTGCCAATTTTCTTACTTTTGCTGAGCTAGCTCTTAGTGAATAAATAAAAAATATACTCTGTGATAAATGACAAGAGTTGTAGATTCTGAGATTGTTGACAGCGGAATAAAGAAGACTTTATTTCTGGCTTGGAGCAATATACCATAGTATTTGTTTCAGCTGTGATTCTTATGTGCTTTGACTGGAAACTGAATTTCCTTCTTTTACATATTATGCTGAGGTTTTTTTGTTGCTTTTCTACAGTTGAAGATGCGATGCCTTTTTACCTTTGACCCTGACACAGATGAGCATATCCCGTGTAGGGAGGCTGGTTTGGCTTTCAAGGTAAAAATATTTTTAACCTTTTGTTTGTTCATCATCATCATCATATTTTTTTTGTTTTGTTAGCAAGACTTTTATGTTTTGCTTCATAATTACAGGTCTGATTTGTCCATAATGTAATTTTTGTCCTGCCAATCTCTTGCTGGTTGAAATTGGTTTGTCAAAACTAATTCTTTTCTGTGAAGTTGATACGAGAAGATTATAGTTTAGTCCAGTGCTTTGTAACAAGATCTCGTGCAAACAAGTTTCAGCTTTGTGCATCCAATGGGTACTACTGCAAAATCACACTCCATTACTGCTTTTAAATCCAGTCCAGTAAAGCTTCTGGTTGTTGTCAGGTTGGATTTGCAGTGCTCAACAACACTTTGTGCTGTCCCGGGAAAATGATCAGTTCAGATGATGCTGAGTCACTGAAAGGGTTAGAGCAGCATACATTTTTCAAGGATAAGAACAAATAACCTCAGCCTTCTAGGAGAAAAAATGACAAATTCTCTTTCACACTTTCTCTTTATAGCATTTACTGCCATTCATACAACTTCGATTAATTTTTTTAACACAGTACGTTGTTTATGGTATGCTGTCATGTATCAAATTGGTTTAAGAATGTTGCATCTCTCGATTTAGTGTCTGGTATACCCCCTATGACATAGGCCTACACCCTTAAAGATGGAATTAATGCAAAGCTATTTACAGCCAAGGCAAGCCATTGTCTCTTGTATGCATGGTTTGTTGATGACTTTTTTCACAATACTGCTTTTTTTTTCTTTTTCATAAGAATTGGATAACTCAAAGTACAGTGGAAATCATATATAACAGGCCCAGCAATAACAGGGATCCTGTAATAACAGGGATTTTTAAAATCCCTGTTTTTTCCTAGTCTTTGTCTCTATTAAAAGTTATCGGCAATAACAGGGCCTCATCGGAGCCCAATCGGTTATAGCAGGGACAAAGGCTGGTTAACAATATGTAAAAAGTAAGAGAGAGAGAGAGAGAGAGAGAGTATAATGCAGTGATGGAGTTAGCCCACGCAAGACATGCCACTGCAAGCACATGCAGTGGGGGAAGTGAGAGAGGGCTGCGGTGTGCAGCAGACTTCGATCTAGCCCTAAGCCTAGCTACTCGCACGTGTAATGCGTCATGCGCAAGCCTACCACATGGCCACGAGACAGGGCTTTGGTGTGCTGTTCGGGGGCACTTGTGGATAGGGAAACTACCTATAAATAAATACAGCTGGATCAGTCCACAAATGCCTACTTCCCTTACATTTGTGATTTAGCAGGAATCTGATATAACAGGACTTTTTCTCGGGTCCCACCATCCCTGTGTATCAGGTTTCCACTGTATAAAGGTATCCCTTTAACTGTTGAAGGAGGTGGCTGACACATATGTCTGACTGAAAATCTAAGGACATGTTTTGGCACATTTGAAGGATCACATACAAACCAGGAACACAAATTTGTCTATTTCATAGTATGTATATTGTTCAAGTTTCAGATATAGAAAACATGAGTTGAAAAATTTGTTGGCTTGTGAATAACAAAGTTATTTAAAAGCTTCGAAACAGTGCGTCTTTAAGAATTGTCGAATAACCAAGATGTATGTCCTCAAAGAATAAAGGAAGTATTTGTTTTCTTCCAGAAACATAACATGTATGTTTGGCCCTTAACTATGGAGTTCATATTTCAGATGGGTGACATTTTAGAGATTGTCAGTGATGAAGACCCGACCTGGTGGCAGGCGCAGCGGTTTCCATCATCAGAGACAGCTCCAGGGCCCGGTGCAGTGATGTCCCCCGCTGGTCTTGTGCCCAGCAGACACTATCAGGAGAGGTTAGAGTCTTCAGGAAACTTCATGATTTCATGGGATTTCTCTTTATTTGTCAAAAAATAGCAGTGGTGTATGTCCTTCTTTTTGTTGTTGTTATTAAATATGGATGAGTTTAACATCTTTCTGGACATTATTGGTCTTTTAGAAGTTGAAAGCTCTTGGTCCTATGGATAGAGTGTAGAAGAGGGAATGGCAGAAAGCAGAGAAAACACAATAAAGGAAAAGTGGGACTTGTAAGTATATGCATTAAATTCTTTTCATCTTTACAAGAGTTTTTCTAGAATCCTATGCAGTGTGGTGGGTGGGGATGTGGAGAGTCAGTTTGATGGCTCCATTTTGTAAGCATAAGCACTGAAGGAAAATCTACTGTATACTGGGGTTTTTTTCATGCAACTTGAATTGATAATTTTTGCAATTTTAAAAGAAGTTTGCGAATTCAGTTGTTTGTAAAATGTTAGGATGGGCGCTATTGTATTGGACCACATGACACAGGGTAACTCAGATCAGGAATTCAAAATGTGCAGGAAAATGGAATAGGCAAAAGTTTTAAGCCAAAAAAAAAAAAGAGTAAAAAAGAGCGCTTTAAAAAAACAGTTTCCAGTATCACTCTTTTGCTGGTAATTTGTTGTAACTTTTCCCTTAAATTATTTGTGAATTTAGCCACATGATTAGGTTACATCTCTTTGTTAATGGTTTTAATCTTTTGCAATTGCAGTCAAAAAGTTGAGAGGGGGACATGACCTAGTGTGATACAGTGTGGTTTTTGCACCACTTTCAGCCCTGTAAGGAATTTTGAGGATGGGACCTTTAAATCAGAGACCATGTTGGATAGGTCCAAGTCAAATTAAGCCAGAAAAACTCTCTAAGATGTGCCAATGGAGATTGAAATCAGGGTCATGTACACTGTACTCCAGCTAGATACCAACAGAGGTAAAAGCTACAGTGCACACAAAGAGGACATGGCTGTGAATATACAGACAAAACCGTAATAATAACGTAGCTGAACTTGTCCAGATGACCACCCAATGTGGAAGAGAAATGTGGTCATCTTAGACAGGTGGTCCTTTGGGATAGAGTCATTATAATGTAGAAAAAATGCATGGGAGAAAGTCGAAGCTGTCGTTTGTACAAGTTATTGGTTGTTTGAGTCGGTTTGACTGTATTTATATGCTGTTGCTTTAGAAGAAATTAAACATAGCTTGACTTTTCTTTTAAGGAATAAATATTCCCCGAAATTATTTGCTGCCCTTTGGTTTGAAAACATGTCGCAACTCATAGTGAGATTCGTTTTGAAAGAAATGGAGTGGCACGTGAAAGAAACATGAAGTTTTTTCTTTGAATAAAGTAGATTTATGCTGCTTACCAGTTTTTAAGAAAGCATAAGAAGAAAGAAAAAAATGTTTTTATACCGTGATTAGGAAATGAGTTTTTAAATATTTGGATCTTGAAATGCATAAATATTGGTACTGGATTTTGTAAAGCAGTTTTAACAGAACTAAAACCTTGAGAACATTTTTTTAGGATAGTTGACAAAATTGTGCATAAGAGCCTTTTCTTTTTTTATAAGTCAAGTGGCCTTCCTGTTTCAGTTTGTCTTATTTAGACTATATCATGTATTTTAGTAAGTCATAATAATTGCCTGTTGTTTTTTCCAGTGTGGAAGTGATGAGACGAGTCAAGCTCAGGGAAGCCAAACATCCACCTCGTAAGTATTGGGATGAATGGGATGAATCATCAGTGCTCATCGATCATCAAGTGCCTTCTTGTTTTCCTTGTCCAAAGTGAAAAAAAAAGGTCCCAGAGTTTAAATGGTTTGTAAATATTTCAAAGAAAATTGAGCATATTTGGCAATTCAGTTGGTGTTCTCTACCATGCGAACAAGTTAACACTCCCAACAACTGGGTACTGATCTTTAAAGAACAGCCAGCTGATCTCTATCTTCTTTCTGTTTGTCATTGTTCAGTCTTCGCTGCCTTCATCTCAAGGGTCGAAGGTCATCCACAGGGCAGATTGGTGCTGAAGTCACAGTTAGATGTCTCAGTGGAGTGTAGCCTATTCGTTCAGTAGAGAGCTTAGCCCTATGTTGTATCTGCCTACAATGTCCAAGTCTAAGGCAATTTTCTTAGTTCGTTACAAGACACCATCCTGCAAGTGTTGGTGGGCTATGTCTTTTGATGTTTCTGGACCTGATGTTATGATTTGAAGGTCCCAGCTTTGTAATGTTGATGCAGGCAACTAACTTTTAAAACAGGAAGGACAGATGTAGAATTTCTTTTTTCCTATGAGAGAGAGAGAGAGAGAGAGAGAGAGAGAGAGAGAGAGAGAGAGAGAGAAGGGGGGAGAAAGTAAGGGGAGGGAGAGAGGAGGGGGGAGAAAGGAGGGGGAGGGAGAGAAGGGGAGGGAGGAGCGAAAGACAGCAAGAGAGTGGGTGTGTATATGAACAGGGAATGTTCATTGCTGCTGTATGAAACCAGGAGTCTCCTTGACAGATTAATCAAATATGTTGTTGCTATTGACATCATCATTTATATCATTTGGTCCTATCATGACCCCTACTATATGTCTTGTTTTGACATCAAATGTTTGGTAAGTTTGAGTGTTCTTTGTCCTGTGTTGGTTCATCCATTTGTGAGAGACATCAAATGTTTCATACATTGTCCATTTCTGACAGATCGACAATATTTGATACATTTGAGTATTCTTAGTCTGTAGTGGTCTGTCCATTTTTTTTAGGTTCCATTAGTCCCTGTCGTTATAGTCCCAAGATCCCCAGGCAGAAACGTCTGAGGAAGACTATGTACCACATCGTGCAGAGCGGAGGTGAGTTACTATGTATAGCAACACATTTTTTTTACCTGTTTCCAAATGCAATAAGGCTATTTTACGGTTTTAGATCTCGATACCAGTGATTTCTTTAAAGCCTTTGCTGTACGTACATATTATGGTTGTTGTTTATGACAGTGTTCTTTTCCTGGGGAATGGTCAATGTTTATTGTGTCTGGCACGTTGGATATTTTATTATTTGGCTTAAGTAGGTAACATTGACAAGGTTGGTGGGCATTCTGTGCCTTTGTCGAGTTGACTTGCTGCAAGCCATAACTCAACAACTTCCTTTGATATTCTATAAAGTGACCTTTCTTTTGTCCAGTTAACCTTTTGTTTCTTTTTTGTCGTTTTCAGTTTTAGCATTTGTTCTATTTATGCGCTCAGAGATAACATTTCAGCTTTTTTCAGTGGTGGTTAGCTCAATAGGTCTTACTTATCAGATTTTTTTCTTTAATTAAAAGCATATTCCTATTTGATTTCACTATGTTAAAAACTGTAACTATTCTTATATTAATTCTCATTGGGTTTTTTCTGGTAAGGAATCAAATGACTTTGGTTTTATTGGGATGTTGACAGGGCAAGCATCAGCTGTTAAGAAAAGTTGGTCACTTGCTTTGCTTTTTAACGATCTTGTACATGCCTGCTGATATTTCCTCTTTTTTCCCCTCAGTGTTTTCTGAGTATGACACTGATGAAATCCCCACCTATGAAGAGGTTGAGTTATACCGTCCTATTCATCCACTCAAGATATTCCGCCCCATTATATTTATTGGTAAGGATGACATCCTTCAAAACATTTAGCTGTTCAATATTCTTATGAGATTCATTCTTCCTTCTGACCACTGGTCGGATACCAACTCTCACAGAAATGGATTTCTGTATCACGAGCATGTGAACTTACTTTGCTCATCCACTGTTTTCTACCTTACTTTTCCAAGTCCAGTTGTGTATATGATATTTTAACCCTTCTATGTTGCAGGGTCAATTTGAGCTTCATCGAGCAGTTTTGGACTCCGAGGGATGAAGAGTGATATACAGTTTAGCAGTCGATAGGAATTAATAAATACAACAAACTGTCTAAAAAGGCAAAATATTTGTTTGAATGACAAAAATTATCGCCGAATTTAAATCTGCAATTATTTTTACAAAGTGTGTCTAGTAGTAGTAGAACTGTGTGGTGAATACAAACTGTGACAAACAGCTCTCTCAAGTTTATGGTCCTCAAGCTTCATAAAGTATGACAAGCACCTTTGGTCAAAGCACGTTTTTGCTTCCTTCATCTGATAAGAAAAAATGACGAGAGCAATCATCATATCGGTCATGTACGGAATGATGTTTACAAACGATTTGATCAAGAATCAGGACATGAATTGCTTTCTGTGGGTACTCTGACAGTTCTGTATAATCACAATAAAAAATCTATTTGAGTAAAATATGTACTGTATTCCATAATACTCTTGTGGGTTGAACAGTTTCCCCAGGAACACTGAAGATATTTTATCTGGAGAGTAAATAAAGCTTTCACAGTGCTTGTCATTTTGTGCATGTGTTCTTTTATCAGATTTAAGATGCATATATATGTGTATTTGAAAGGACATGGCTCGGTATGCATGAAACATGTTATTGTGTGAGATGTCAAATTTTAACATTTTATTTTATAGTGAGTCACTTAGAGCCATCAGGCCATGGCCACTGTAGAAGAGATTTTTATTATTATTATTATTATTATTATTATTATTATTATTATTATTATTATTATTATCGTCATCATTATTGTTATAATTATTGTTTTCAGGTCCACCTGGTGTTGGCAGGAATGAGCTGAAACGTCGCCTAAAGGCAAGCAACCCACAACATTTTGAAGAAGTTGTTCCATGTAAGTACCTCTGTGTGTGTGTGTGTGTGTGTGTGTGTATGTGTGTGTGTGTGTGTGTGTGTGTGTGTGTGTGTGTGTGTGTGTGTGTGTGTGTGTGTGTGTGTGTGTGTGTGTGTGTGTGTGTCATTCCTTCTTTTATATAGCAAATAATTTTTTTTTAAATTTCCTCAGTTATTGTTTGGCACTTTGATTTATATAAAGCTGTGTGTACACGGGAGTAGGTGTTATAAAAATGCACTTCATTCTTCCTATTATTTTTAATGTCAATTTTATCTCTACTTTCAATTTTTGTAAATGTTCTCAGGAAGTGCAGGGTTTATTAGACAAAGTTTTAGAAGGAAATTATTTGTGTCAAATCACTGCTACAGTTGTCAGGTTGTCTTGGGTTTTCCATCCCTTTCATAGTTTTCTTCTAGGGAAATTCTGACTTAGGAGTCCATTGAGACTTTAAAAGTTCAAAGTTTTAACAAAAATAGAATAAGATTTAATTTGCAGTGTGTACTTTTTTACTTTTGAATGTTTTCAGAAAACAGGGGTTCTTTTGGTTTGTTTTCCTGGATAAAGATATTGTCATGCATAACATGCATGTTTTATCACTCTCTACTTTTTGTATGTTATGTTGTGGATGAAATACTTTAGTGACCATACACAGTGGCGGGGAATGCTTTTTTGGAAGTAAATGTCACATTGAAGTGGTATGTTTCAGCTTTCGGTACAGCATTGAGTTAAGCTAGGTATATGTCTGTTGTTCTTATTAAATTTATTTTTGAGAGAAACTTTCAAAATAAAAGTGTAACAACTGTATTTGGGGGGGGGGGGGGGGGGGGGGGTTGGGAGGGGAAGTTATGAGTATGATTTGCTGCACTCTCTAAAAAGATTAAAGTGATCGTTATCCATTGCTTTCAGACACAAGCAGAGAGAAGAGACCACATGAAGAAGACGGAAAGGAGTACAACTTCCTGAGTCGTGAAGAGATGGAAAGTCAGATTATTTCTCAGAAGTAGGTTTTTGTACAGTACTAGTATCATCTAAATTGAAGAGCTGGTTGTGGGTGGTTAGCGGGTGCTCTGGTTTGGTTTGGTCCTTCTTTCCGACCAAACATCTGTCGTCCTGATCTCTCCTCCTTTTTTGTGTTTGTTACTCTCTTGTAACTCCTCTAATCTTCAGCACTTATATGACCTTATTGTGTTGCAAGTGCTGTAAAACTCTTACTAAAACTATAAAAAGAAGAGCTGGTATTCTATGGAAAACTGTATCGTCTTCGTTATAAAACCAGAAAACTGATTTATTGTGCTTCATTAGAACCTGATCAGCCTTTGCTATCAAAAAAGCGACAGAGAAGGAAGACCTGTTTTAAATGCGTTTTCTTATGAAAAGCATATGTTATCAATGTAGGAAAGTCAATAATTCTCTAAAGACCACCTGTCCAAAACATACACCTTTAAGAATGACCACTTCTCACTTCCCCTTTGCATTTCTTTTCCTATATATTATAATGACTCTGCACAAGATGACCAACTGTGTAAGATATATCCCAAATAGGTTATATTTAGTACTAGAGTTGGTGGCAGTGATGTCCCCCCACATAAACGAATGGGGGCTAAGTGTGCCCACCGTGGGATTCTGAACCTCAAGGGCAAGACATACACAGTTCAACAGATGAGTGAGTACTTTTTGAGATTCACATGGAGGTGTCCCAGCAGTCTTAGGTTGAAATCTACAAGCTTGCACTGAAATATGGGATATGGGCTGTGTTATATATGCAAGAGCTCATGAAGAGTGAGGTGGGGGCTTAGATTTTTCATGTAAATGGGGGAGCGCCGGCCTTGACTATGAGGGTGGAAGGCCCCCATGTCTGACATGTATGACATCACTGCCTCGAGCTCAAGTATTATTATATATAACCTCTTTGAAGATATCTACTTTTCTCCTCAACAATGGATGGTTGTCTTGGACAGGTTTGACTGCAGTTTAAATGTCCTTTAGTTTGACATCATCAGTGAGAGTGTTGTTTGCTTTTACTATTTTTGGTATTGCATACATGTTATATTTTCGATCTCTCCAGATTTGTTGAATATGGTGAATATAAAAACAACCTGTACGGAACAAGCCTGGACTCTATCAAGTCTGTCATACAGCGGGGCAAGGTTTGCTTGCTGGCGCCACATACTCAGGTAAGCACGGACAATGGTTTTACACCTGTTTCATCCATCACAAATAGTATAGAATATGATATAGTTCTTTATTGTTCATGGGTTTCCTTACTATTTGTGTGTGTGTGTGTGTGTGTGTGTGTGTGTGTGTGTG